ACATGTGCAGGTCCCATCCAAAGATGGAGAATCTGTTCTCGTGGGCCACACGGGCAGGGCGGGCGGCAGCAGGTTCCCACGGCAGCCCAGCGGTTTCCATGAAATCTGGGGCGAAGCTGCCCAGCCCTCGGCGCCTCGGCCCATGGAACGGATGCTCCGGGTGGCGTTGGAGGCTCCTTCGTGGGAGGTTCTCTGCAGCCGGCTGGAGCCAGCTGTCTGGGACCGTTTGGACACCGAAAACCCGGGCCCTTGGCAGGGCTGCGAGGGCTGCCGGAGCGGGGCTCCTGGGGCGATTAGAAAGGGCCTGGATCTCCGGCACTGCCACAGGAGTGGTGCCCAAGAGCCACGGGCCCCTTAGCATCACTGGGGCCCCAGGGCACGGGCCCCCTCCACCCCACCTCTCTGGAGTCCCTGGGAGTCTCACAGTACCTGGTCTCGGGGGTGAGGGGGCGACTTCGTCTGCAATAGAAAAGCCTTAAAGGCCAGCGACTAGTCCTGCAGCGCCTTAGGGTGTGTCTAGACTACAGGGTTCTGTTGCCAAAAGTGGACTTTTGCCGACAAAACTATCCCTGCGTCCACACTGCCGCCACACAACGTCGTCAGAACTCGGCAGTTTGGCCGACGACGGTAAACCTCATTGCACGGGGAATAACGCCTTTCGCCTCTCGCCAGAGCTCCGTGGACGGACGGCGCTATTGCATCTGCGCTGCCCTTGGCACCTGCGCTGTCATGTCGACAAAGCGCCTTGCTGTGGCAACAGAACTGGCTGTAGTCTGGACACTCTGTCGACAGAAGCTTTGTTGGCAGTATCTGTCGACAAAAGCCTGTCGTCTCTAAGGGTACGTCTAGACGAAGACACCAGGCCCATGGTCTCAGGAACTCTCGTGGGCACGACCCACGTCTTACTTGCTGGGAGCAGAGTCTGCACAGAACTCGCCACGTTCTTTGGGTTTTAAAGCAAGTGCCTGCCCTCAGGAAGGCACAGGAGAGCTCGACCGCGGGAAGGGAGCGGACCCTGAAGAGTCAGACGCCAGAAGGCAAATACAGACGACTTGATAAAGTCCCAGCTTGACCCAGCCCTGGCTGGGCTGATTGAGTTGGGGCTGGTCCTGCTTTGGGCAGGGGCTGGACGCGATGGCTCGAGGGCCCTGCCAGCCCTGGGATTCTAGGAGTCTATGACAACAACTTTAGTTAGTTCCATCCATCTCCGGACTTTTAAGCTCACCTCACAAGCTGGAGCCGCGTGTTTTCCAAGGTGGGGCTGGCGATCCTGAGCACCGACCACGTGCGCAGTCAGAAGGAGCACTCAAACGTCGATCCACGTTATATGTGTCTGGGGATTTGCCAGCCCAGGGAAAAACTACCCAGCGGTGCACAGAAACACTGGCGCGCTGGGGTGATTATTTCAAGCCAGCCCCTGGGGACGCGTGCACACTAATTGGGCAGCTGTGCAGAGAGTTGTGTGACCAGCTCCCCATGCGCCAGGCTGACAGCACACACAGCCTACTTGGGGGAGCGTCACAGAATCATAGCATCATAGCGCACTTGGACTGGAAGGGATCTAGAAAGGTCACCAAGTCCAGTCTCCTGCCCTCATGGCAGGACCCAGCACCGTCTAGATCATCCCTGACAGGCGTCTGTCCCACCTGCTCGTCAATATCTCCAGAGATGGAGGTTCCACGACCCCCCTCGGCAACTTATTCCAGTGTTTCACCCCCCTGACAGGCAGGAACTTTTTCCTAATGTCCAACCTGAACCTCCCTGGCTGCAGTTTAAGCCCATTGCTTCCTGTCCTGTCCTCAGAGGCCAAGGAGAACATCAAGGGAATTGGTCAGCTCCACTGCACAGGCAAGAGTTATACCAACGATTCACAATGAAATCCGACCTTTGCCTGCAAGTGGACTAACTCTGCATGTGCCAGGAGGAGGGTTACGATTTGTTTTGCTCTCTCTTCGATGACAATTAGTTGACAGCCAAGCTGTATTCCTTTCCAGTTTCCATTGGTTAGATCATGTCTGTCCTGGGTTGGATGAGCACACAAGCCCTTGCCCTAGGGGTATGCGGGTGTGCAAATTCCAAATTCATTGTCTGAAAGTACCTGGGCAGAGGACTTTGAAATCATCTCTCCATGAACGTGTGCTAGTGAAATGCAACAAGCGTGATCCTCATGGGGAGCTAACACAAAAGGCAAAACCCAGGTCCACAAAACCAGTTAAGAATATACTCTCTGGACATGCTGTGCGGTTTTTACGCAGCCTTCGCACCAGACGCTAGCACACCTCTAGGCTATGCAAAAGCTACAGAAGGACATTAGTAATTCACTCTATCAACTTGATGCCAATTAAAAGAAATGAGGGGAGAAAAGCATTTACCATCTGTATGACCTCCTCCAGTGTTATCTGATTGTCTCCTGGATCTTCCTGAGTCAAAGTCCTAGGCAAGGAAAAGAAAGAGTTACTTTTGCAGAAGGAACAAGGGGGGGGGTACATTTCTTGGCTCTCGCACAGTGGTTCTCAGCCAGAGGGGGGTCTCCTTGAGGGTCCACAGAGCTCTTCCGGGGGTCCATCAACTCAGCCAGAGACTGGCCTACTTTTACAATAGGCTACATGAAGCGAACCGGCAAAGTCAGTCCAAACTACAATTTCACACGGATGACGTGGTTCTACAACTCCACGTGCTACACGCAGACACGGACTCTGAGATTTCTATTGCCCCTGTGCTGCTTCAGAGCTAGGTACGGAAGCTGAGAGGAAGCAAGTTTCCCCTGCCAGCGCGCTCTGATGCGGGGTGTCCACCTGACTGGTTCTGTAAGCTACCTGTAGCGAAGTGAGGTGAGAACGCAGCCCCCCAAGGGGCACGTCGTCCAGAAAGAGCGAGAGCCTCTGGTCTAGAGCGGAGCTGAACACGGAGCGTTCCAGCCCGCTGTGTGCTGATGGAGTAAATGTGCAGGCAGCGGAAGACTTCTGTGGAGTCAGGTTTGTCATTGTAATTAATTAAAAAGACAAAGTTAACGTGCCAAACGGCGACCTCCGAGAGCCTGAGTCCCGTGGGGTTTGTGGGGTCTGCAGCTGGAGCCTCTCCCATGGACCTGGTGGGAGCCAACAGGCCCCTGGCTCTGCCCCGGACCGTGGTGGGTCGCCGCGTGCCATTCCCGAATCCGGACAGTGCCAGCCTCCCATCCGGAGGAAGAGCCACGCGCTGCCCCTGCTAACTAGCGTGCCATCTGCAGGGGCTGGCTGGTGTGCCCAGAGGCAGACGTGGAGGGCGGGACCCTCGGCCTGCCAAGGAGACCACCCCTCCCAATGGGTACTCCAGGGCGGATGGCTCATCCCGCAGCCAGTGGCGGGGAGGGCGGCAG